GGGCGTCGACGCCGACTCTTGGCCGCGATCAGCAGGTGAACCTGGCGCCGCAGCAAGCGCGGTCGGAGTCGCGAGGTCGTCGCGCGACCTCCGAGCCTCGAGCCGGCAATCTCGAGCGCGCCCGCGATCTCCTGCAGCCGCCAATCCGGCGGCGGGTCTGGCGCGTCAACGGGGCCCCCCTCGCCGGCGTCGGCGCGCAACGCGGCCAGCTGCTGATTGGACGCGGGATAGGCGACGACGCGAGCTGCATCGAGGTCGAAGCGGAAGAGACGTCGCGGTCGGACGGGCGTCGGCGCAGGGGCGGCCACCGAGATATCTCCTCGCGGACCACGCGCGCGCGGCCCCGTCGTCGGTCGCGGCAAGAGGCAGCAGGCGAACGGTGCGAGTTGCGCGTTGGCGGTGGACGCCCAGGGCCGCGGAAGCCAAAGCGGCTTGGGCCTCTGTCGCTTCATTCTAATGGAACGTCCGCGATTGCTGCTCCGATTGCTGCCCCGCGGAGAACGGCGGGATGGGCGCGGAAACCATCTGCGGCACCCTGGACTACGAGAGCCCCGTCGCCCCCCGCGGACAGCGACCCTCGTCGCGGCCAGCGCGCACCCCCCCGGCCCCGCGAACCCTGGCGCCCCACGCGTTGAGAAAAGCGGTAGCCAGCAACCGACGCTGTTCACCATTGACCTGACTTGCAAGCTGCACATGCGGCCAGTTACTGGCGCATGGGCTCGTTTTCAGGTTGCGCTAACTCTTCTCGAGTCTGCGAATCTCAATGCTGGCCGGGGCACGGTCGCGAAGGCAATCATAAGCGCGGTCAGGGTCGCCCCTCTTCATCTAGTTGTAGTCGCACATATCTTGCTTCATCCAAGGATGTCTACGAATGTGGCCGGAACGCAATGACTCCACAATGCTCGTGTCGAGTGGGCCACGACATTCGAAGAGCAAATTGCCCCAGCCCACAATGAGCCGTTGAAGACCTTCATCGCACATGCGCCCAAATTGAAGACGTTCGAAGCCGCGCAGTGCATCCTCGGCGCAGGAACCTTGTAGGACTGGAGGATGGCCCAACAGATTTGTCGCCCCTCCAACACGCGGCCGGCTCGGTGCTTGGGCCCCCAGGCCCCCCACGCACGCGACATGCGATTGCGAAGTTCAGCGGGGAGAACTTGTTTAAGACGAGCAGCCAGTTGCAATCAATATTTTCGAAGTCTTCACTGTCTTGAAGGCCCTCAAAGGTAGCGCCAGGATGTTCAGCAACGGAGAGACAGGCGCAGGCCTTAGGTCGCCCGGAGGCGCCGACGAAGCCCCCCCTGACCACGCGCTGCCGCTCCTGAAGCTGCGCAACCCGCAGCATTTGAGGAACGCGAACAGCGCCCGGCCCCTTGATCAGGGTCATGCCACCGAGAGAATACTGCGAAATATTCAGATGGCAGGGGTGGCCGCGGCGATGGAGCAAGCTACTGTCGACGCGAATCCTGATCACGTGCGTCTCTGCTGTCCTGCGCGGACGTTGCCATCGGCTGGGGCATGGGCACCGTCGGGAACCCGTGCCTGAGATTGCGAAGGAGCGCGAACCGTAAGATTGCATACATGAGCCGACAGGGCGGCCCCCGTGGCCGCGAGACCCTGTCGCAGCTTCTCAGCACTCTGTCGGGGACCCCTATCCATACGTGGTGTCATAAGTCCCCTGCGAGCACCGATCCAGCCAGCGCTCAAAGTCGTGGAAACGTCGGGCGCGCGCTTCGCGCTCTCGTTCCAAACGGGCGATGAGAGCCTCGACCCGTGCCTTTTGCAGCGTCTCTTTCTTGGGAGACCTTGGCGAGCCGCAAATGCGCGCGGCCCGCCGCCATCTTCGCCCCGGCCATCTCGGCGACGAGGCGGGGGATCGCAAGCCGAAGTCGGGGCGCCCAGCCGGCTAGTCCGGGCCCGCACAACTGAATCAGGGCAGCCTGAACGTCAGGCAACTTCTGCTCAACCGCAGAGACTCGGTCCGCGCGCGCTGACGCGCGCCTCTCGGATGCATCAAAACGTCGAGCAATAGCCAACTCAGCATTGCACAACTTGCCATGCAACTCGGACGCGGTGACAATATTCCCGGGGTGGAGGTTTGCAATTGTCGCATCAACGCGACCAGGAAGCGCAGCGGGATCATCGCGAAGCTGTCGCTTAGAAATTCCCAATACCTCAGCGGCGGGCGTCTGCCGGAGAGCAGGGACCTCGCCGCGCGAGGTCCCGGCGGCAGCGGCGCGAGCGCCCCTGACGCCCGCGAGCTGCGTCACCACGGTGAGGAGGTAGTGGCGAAGCGTCTGGACGGCAATGGAGGCGGCGCTTCGGCGTGACTCCACCTGGCCGCCTTGATGCTAACCTCATTCAAAATCGATCGACCCTCGGCGATCCGAGCGTCGACCAAGGCAAGAGCGCGTTGAATCGCTCGGCGCACAATTGCTGCCCGGGTCGCTGCACGCGCGACCGTCGCAACAAGAACCCGACAACGGTTGGGTCGTGCACG